GGCCCTGGGCAACCTGGTCTAGTTGGGGGTGTCCCTGCTGACTGCGGGGAGGTCGGACTAGATGACCCTTGGAGGTCCCTTCTGGCCTGGACAATTCTATGATTCTATTCTATGATTCTATGAATATCCCTTTGGCCAGTTGGGGACAGCTGTCCCGGCTGTGTCCCCTTCCAATTTCATGTTTCCCCCCAGTCTACTCACTGGTGGGGTGGTGTGAGGAGCAGAAAAGTCCTTGACTCTGTGTAAACACTGCTCAGCGATAACAAAAACATCTCTGTATTATCAAGTTCAAAACGTAGCCCCGTGAGACTGACTATGAAGAACATTAACTCTACCCCAGCCAAAACCAGCACGCACCAGGAGAAGCTCAGACCTTCCTTGCTTTGGGTCTTCCTCTATTTTATCCCATGCAATCCTGCTTGGCAGGAGAGTTGGACTAGATGATCTCTAGAGGTCCCTTCCAACTCTGACCATTCTGTGATTCTGTAATTGCCAGGAGAGAAATTAATTTCTCTTCTAAGCAAGTGGGAGATGTACAGGAAGGTGAGGAAGGAACAGTTGAGATCACTAACAGGGTTCTGGAAACAGGTAAAAAACCCTTCCCTTTCATCTTCTTTGTTGTGTCAGGAGCAGATGATGTACAAGTAGAGGATGAAGAAGTGAAGGTGGAAAGGGGATTTAATTACTCTCTTCCCCTGCCTAATGAGGAGCTGTAGAAAGCATGATGTCAAAGTCTTCTTGCAGGTGCACAGTGAGAGGACAAGAGGCAATGGCCACAAGTTACGGTGTAGGAAATCCCGTTAGACATTAGGACAGTGGTCAAACTCTGGCCCAGAGAGGTGGGGAGGTGAGGAAGGAACAGTTGAGATCACTAACAGGGTTCTGGAAACAGGTAAAAAACCCTTCCCTTTCATCTTCTTTGTTGTGTCAGGAGCAGATGATGTACAAGTAGAGGATGAAGAAGTGAAGGTGGAAAGGGGATTTAATTACTCTCTTCCCCTGCCTAATGAGGAGCTGTAGAAAGCATGATGTCAAAGTCTTCTTGCAGGTGCACAGTGAGAGGACAAGAGGCAATGGCCACAAGTTACGGTGTAGGAAATCCCGTTAGACATTAGGACAGTGGTCAAACTCTGGCCCAGAGAGGTGGGGAATCTCCATCCTTGGAGATGCTCAGACCTCAGCTGGACAAAGGACCAAACTTTGAAGTTGTCCTGGCTTTGGGCACGTGGCTTCCAAAGTCCCTTCTGCAGCTTCCCTGATTTTGATAGTGAGAAGTGATGGATAAGAGAAGGAGAAGCTGCAAAGCCTGGGGCAAGGACTAACGTCTGAGGAGATGGAGAAGCTGAACATGGACTGGGAAGAGATGGCAAAAAACCAGTCTTGGTGGTGGCCTTTTGACTCGGATGGTGTTGCCTCTTGGAAGGTGGGGAGGTGGTTGTTGCACCAAAGGAGGAAAGAGCTGAGGAGATCCTAAGCAAGAAGGTGTCAGCAAGCAGCTGCTGGATTTGGAGGCTCAAAGGAAGGTTTCAGAGATGGACCTGTGTGTCAGAGCACAGCCAGGTCTGGTACAGCAATTGAGAGAAGCTGCCAGGAGCTCCAAGATAAGTGTTAGGTGACAAAATCAAAACAGACTGGGCTGTGCTCTCGTTTGCTGCCTTCTGGCACCCGACAACAAGCTTGGGAGATTTTACATGGTTGCCTCTTGCAGGGTGACTACACTGGTGAGAGTGAGACTCAATTAAAGGGTCCCTTTTAGTATCTCTTTACATTTCAGGATCTGTTGTGTCAGCACTACTTTTCCATCTCCAGGTCAGCCAGGGCCTCAGAGAAGCTCACCATCTCCTGCATTTAGCCAAAATACAAATATCTTTTACAGGATGTGAGCTCTTCTTCCTAGTCCTTCCTATCTCCAATGTATTTTCTTCTTTTCCTTTCCTGAAAGGCTGCTTTCCTGGACCCACACTGACTTATTGGTCACCGCTCATCACCAAACCCAAATCCAAGCTGGGTCATGGAATCATAGAATCAGAGAATGGTTTGGGTTGGAAGGGACCTTAAAGATCATCCAGTTCCAACCCCCCTGCCCTGGGCAGGGACACCTCCCACCAGACCAGGTTGCTCCAAGCCCCCTCCAACCTGGCCTTGAACCCCTCCAGGGATGGGGCAGCCACAGCTTCTCTGGGCAACCTGGGCCAGGCTCTCACCACCCTCACAGCAAACAAGTTCTTCCCCAGATCTCATCTCCATCTCCCCTCTTTCAGGGTCAAACCCTTCCCCCTCATCCTGTGGCTCCCCTCCCTAATCCAGAGTCCCTCCCCAGCTTTCCTGGAGCCCCTTGAGGGACTGGAAAGGGGCTTGAAGGTCTCCCCGGAGCCTTCTCTTCTCCAGGCTGAACCCCCCCAACTCTCTCAGCCTCCCCTCCCAGCAGAGGGGCTCCAGCCCTCCCAGCATCTCCGTGGCCTCCTCTGGCTCCATCCAACAGGTCCATGTCCTTCCTGTGCAGGGTCCCTGATAAAAGCAAGCACTCGGTTCAAATCTCTGTAGTCTAGAGGGCATTTTGTATGTCATTTAGACAGTGCAAGAAGAGTCAAATTGGGTTAAGAGCAAGGTAGATCCATCTTCTGGAAGGAGTTGGAGACAGCCAGGGTGAACTTGCAGACTCAGGGCTTGATGCAGCAAAGTATTTAAGTGCAAGTCTGTGTAACAGAGCTGGGAATTACTTCTCTAAATGGCTCCAGGAAGAAGAATTAGGGTTGGAAATCCAAGGTCAGCACTTTTCAGCCTCGCCGCTGAATGCGTCGGGTCAAATCTGCGGGGCACGTGGCAAGGGGTAGTTAAACTTGCTGCAGCCTGACCAATGGTACTTTGGAGAAGGCATTATTTATTTGGGAAATAAACTCCCTGGAAAAGGCTTCGTGGCAAATTCTGCCGTTCCTGTTCTGTGCAGGTGCGTGGCTGCCGTCCCCACCGGCTGGAAGGTGGATCCCAGCGCGGTTCTTCGGTGTTTGAAGAGGCATCACCTCTTCTCCAAGGCTGAAATCTGCGTCACCAACAAACTGCCGCATTTACAGACGGGATCGGGGGTAGGTTTCACAGCTATTAACTCCTTTATTTAAAAAGTTTAACAACTGCTGGTGCTTTAAGGTCATACCTGCCCTCCTGTGTCTAAAGTTTTCCCTTTTGGGGTGTTATTTGGTACTATTCGGGGTGGCTGAAGAGGATCATAGAATCATAGAATGGTTTGGGTTGGAAGGGACCTTTAAGACCATCCAGTTCCAACCCCCTGCCCTGGGCAGGGACACCTCCCACCAGACCAGGTTGCTCCAAGCCCCCTCCAACCTGGCCTTGAACCCCTCCAGGGATGGGGCAGCCACAGCTTCTCTGGCCAACCTGCACCACGCTCTCACCACCCTCACACCAAACAAGTTCTTCCCCACATCTCATCTCCATCTCCCCTCTTTCAGTCTAAAACCGTTCCCCCTTCTCCTATGGCTCCCCTCCCTCATCCAGAGTCCCTCCCCAGCTCTAAGGTCTCTCTGGAGCCTTCTCCTCTCCAGCCTGAACACCCTAACTGTCATAGGATTTAAGTATTCATCATTTGGGGGCTGACGTGCTGGAGAGCAGGTCTGAGGGTAAAGACTTGGGAGTCCTGGTGGACAACAGGATGACCATGAGCTGACAATGTGCTCTTGTGGCCAAGAAGGTCAATGGCATCATGGGGGGCATCATGAAGAGCATGGCCAGCAGGTCGAGGGAGGTCATCCTGCCGCACTGCTCTGCCCTGATGAGGCCCCATCTGGAGCACTGGGTCCAGTTCTGGGCCCTCCAGTTCAAGAAGGGCAGGGAACTGCTGGAGAGGGGACATAAAAGGGCCACAAAGATGAATAGTGGCCTGGAGCATCTCTGCTACAAGGAGAGGCTGAGGGACTTGGGTCTTTTTAGTCTGGAGAAGAGAAGGCTGAGGGGGGATCTGATCAATGCTTACAAATACTTAAAGGGAGGGTACCAGGAGGATGGGGCTGGTCCTTTTTCAGTGGTGCCCAGTGACAGGACAAGAGGAAATGGGCACAAACTTGAGTATAATAAGTTCCACCTACACATGGGGAAGAACTTCTTTACTGCGAGAGTGTTAGAGCCCTGGAAGAGGCTGCCCAGAGAGGTGGTGGAGTCTCCTTCTTTGGAGACATTCAAACCCCGCCTGGAGAAGTTCCTGTGGGACCTGCTCTGGGTGGACCTGCTTTGGCAGGGGGTTGGACTAGGTGATCTCCAGAGGTCCCTTCCAACCCCATATCATTCTATGATTCTATGATCATGGCATATATATTTTTTTTTTCAGTGTTGAAGTGAGTTTTCTCTGCTCCTAAAGGCTCATACCTTTTTGCTTACTCTTTCTTGTCGTTGCCTCCACCAGCTTGAGAACGCGTGGGCCATAATCACGGTCATGGTGCTTTTCTCCGATGGCGTCAGCGACATCCAAAAGCTGATGGCGTGTCTGCAGAGGCCTGGCTCTGGCCTCTCTGTTGTGGACGTGACCGAGACGCTCTACTGCATAGCCATGCTGCTGTATGCCATGAGGGACAGGAACATCACCATCACCAACAGGTGAGGAGTGGGGAGATGCTTCCTGCCTGCCTCTTTCCAGGCATGGTGATGGGTAATAAATATTCTAGGCCCCTCATTACAAGACATTGAGGTGCTGGAGTGGGTCCAGAGAAGGGCAACAGAGCTGGTGAGGGGTCTAGAGCACAAGTCTTGTGAGGAGCAGCTGAGGGAGCTGGGGTTGTCCAGTCTGGAGAAAAGGAGGGTGAGGGGAGACCTTCTCACTCTCTCCAACTCCCTGAAAGGAGGGTGTAGCCAGGGGGGGTCGGTCTCTTCTCCCAAGGAACAGGTGATGGGACAAGAGGAAATGGCCTCAAGTTGCACCAGGGCAGGTTTAGAATGGATATTAGAAAAAATTTCTTCTGGAAGTGGTGGAGTCACCATCCCTGGAGGGATTTAAAAGCCGGGCAGACGTGGTGCTGAGGGACATGGGTTAGTGGTGGGTTTTGTCAGTGTTAGGTTGATGGTTGGACTCGATGATCTAAAAGGTCTTTTCCAACCTAAATGATTCTGTCATTCTATATACAGTGAATCTATGCTCCCCAGCAATTATTTTCCTCTTGCTTAGGGCTCTTCAGTTCCTCGGTGTGCGCCGTTTGTCAGGAACAGTGTGCACATCCCAAGCTTTTTGCAGGAACATTCGGGAGCATTGCCTTTAGGTTTGCTTTAATTCCTAAACTGCTTCATAGCCCGCTTGTTTTTTGGGAAGTAGTGCTCAAGAAAAACATTTTTCTTCAGAAACAAAAGCAGGTTTTAAAGCAATTGTAGAAACTCTCTGATTAGAAGTAGATACACATCAGCTGTGACAATTTAATGCAGTTATTGCAGCTCTCAGATGAACAACCAGCAATTATTTTCCTCTTGCTTAGGGCTCTTCAGTTCCTCGGTGTGCGCCGTTTGTCAGGAACAGTGTGCACATCCCAAGCTTTTTGCAGGAACATTCGGGAGCATTGCCTTTAGGTTTGCTTTAATTCCTAAACTGCTTCATAGCCCGCTTGTTTTTTGGGAAGTAGTGCTCAAGAAAAACATTTTGCTTCAGAAACAAAAGCAGGTTTTAAAGCAATTGTAGAAACTCTCTGATTAGAAGTAGATACACATCAGCTGTGACAATTTAATGCAGTTATTGCAGCTCTCAGATGAACAACCAGGAAATCAGGATGCTTGTTTGGCATCATGTTTAGTGATTGATAATTGCTGGTTAAGGTCATTAACTTGAGTAAACGCCTGCTGAAGATGTCACAGAGGGAGGATGTCACTCACTAGCAATAAAACCCTGTGATCAAAGTCACCCATGTCCCCATCTCCATCTCCTTGAACAATCTCGACTAGAAGAAATGGGAATCACAGAGTGATATGGGGTTGGAAGGGACCTCTGGAGATCATCTAGTCCAACCAGGGTCACCCAGAGCAGGTCCCACAGGAACGTGTCCAGGCAGGGTTTTAATGTCTTTAGGGAAGGAAACTCCACCACCTCTCTGGGCAGCCTGTTCCAGGGCTCTGACACCCTCAAATGAAAGAAGTTCCTCCTCATGTTTAGGTGGAACTTCTTATGTTCAAGTTTGTGCCCATTTCTTCTTGTCCTGTCACTGGGCACCACTGGGAAAAGACTCCTGACACCCGCGCTGTGATCCTGTGAAAAGGGTCCTGTGGATTCTACTCCCAGGTCACGTTTGTGTGGCAGAACCTGAAACACAAACCTTCCAGGAGTGAGGGAGAGGCCACAAATAGAGCACAAATGTCCCCATTTTGCCTTCACAGTCACCTCTCAAGTTATAACTTTAAAATCTTAATATTGTCTCCTGCGTCTCCCTGAGCCCTTGAAGCTTTGTGCATCCTTCTGTTGGAAGTATTCGAGATGTTGGCAGTGTTTTAGGTGGCTGCAGACATTTAAATGGTTCCTGATGATTTCTCAATGAGTTTCTCTTCTGTCTTTTCTACCAGGATCCATTACAATGTTTTCTATCCTGACACCCGCACTGTGATCCTGTGAAAAGGGTCCTGTGGATTCTACTCCCAGGTCACGTTTGTGTGGCAGAACCTGAAACACAAACCTTCCAGGAGTGAGGGAGAGGCCACAAATAGAGCACAAATGTCCCCATTTTGCCTTCACAGTCACCTCTCAAGTTATAACTTTAAAATCTTAATATTGTCTCCTGCGTCTCCCTGAGCCCTTGAAGCTTTGTGCATCCTTCTGTTGGAAGGATTCGAGATGTTGGCGGTCTTTTAGGTGGCTGCAGACATTTAAATGGTTACTGATGAGTTCTCAATGACAGTTTCTCTTCTGTCCTTTCTACCAGGATCCATTACAATGTTTTCTACTGCTTGTATCTGATGGAAAACACGTCTGTAACTATGCAGACAGTGGAAGAGGAAACACCGGCGTCGCGCTGCAGACAGGACTTATGGTCTGGGTAAGGCTATTTTAGGTGATCTGAGCACCTAAGTGTGTACGTGGGGCTCTGTTGGAGTTCTGAGCCTTGGAGGGGGAGCAAACGTTTCATGGCAGGGGCTGGTTGACAAGACTTTGAGATTCATAACGATGGGTACAAAACCTTAGTGCATTCCTTGCCATCTTCTGGCCGAATTCTCAGAGGAAAACCAGAATCAGGCCTTAAGTATGTAAAAATTGAATTAGAATCATAGAATGGTTTGGGTTGGAAGGGATCTTAAAGACCATCCAGTTCCAACCTCCTGCCCTGGGCAGGGACACCTCCCACCAGCCCACGTTGTTCCAAGGCCCATCCAGCCTGGCCTTGAACCCCTCCAGGGATGGGGCAGCCACAGCTTCTCTGGGCAACCTGTTCCAGGCTCTCACCACCCTCACAGTAAAGAATTTCTTTCTGGTATCTAATCTAAATCTCCCCTCTTCCAACTTAAAACTGTTACCCCTTGTCCTGTCACTACACTTCCTGACAAAGAGTCCCTCTCTGGCTCTCCTGTAGGCTCCCTTCAGATATTGGAAGGAATTACCAAGCACTGATTGAATTTTGAAGTTGGTATTCACCGATGGGTGTATTTCACTGAATTTTATTGTATGTATCAGCAGAACATGGTTCTGCGGGCTCCAGTGTGACGACCACTGAAATTTCTCAGGGCCCACATCACCCCAATGATGGGTGTATGTATCAGCAGAACATGGTTCTGTGGGCTCCAGTGTGACGGCCGCTGAAATTTCTCAGGGCCCACATCACCCCAAAACACCCTCCCAAATCACCCTTCTCCCTATGGATACAAAGCTCTGGAGGGAGGGGAGGGTGCCTGCTTTAGTTTTAGCAGCGTGTTCCTGTAGAATCTCAAGCTGCCTGTTGGTCATGTTACTGTAGCCCAAATAACGTGGCCCTTCATGTAAAAACATGGCTTTCTGTGTGCAGGAGGAAAGGAGGTACCAGCTGCAGGGCAGTGATTTGGCTCCTGTTTTCTGGATCCTCTTGGATAAGTGTTATATACTGATTTCTACATATATCTAGCTGTTAGAAATCACCATTGGTTGGTAGTTTGCTGCCTGGAAAGGAAGGACAGTAAAGGGTGAAGTGCTTTCCTGGCCTGTGGAGATCCAAAACACCCTCCCAAATCACTCCTCTCCCTATGGATACGAAGCTCTGGAGGGAGGGGAGGGTGCCTGCTTTAGTTTTAGCAGCGTGTTCCTGTAGAATCTCAAGCTGCCTGTTGGTCATGTTACTGTAGCCCAAATAACGTGGCCCTTCATGTAAAAACATGGCTTTCTGTGTGCAGGAGGAAAGGAGGTACCAGCTGCAGGGCAGTGATTTGGCTCCTGTTTTCTGGATCCTCTTGGATAAGTGTTATATACTGATTTCTACATATATCTAGCTGTTAGAAATCACCATTGGTTGGTAGTTTGCTGCCTGGAAAGGAAGGACAGTAAAGGGTGAAGTGCTTTCCTGGCCTGTGGAGATCCAGGTTTGGTTCCCTTTCTGCTGCAGTTACTCAGGTTTGAAATGTTTTGTCTCCTTTTCCTTGAAAAGAAGGGGAATCAGGAAGCATCTGGAGGGAGGTCATCCTGCTCCTCTGCCCATCCTGCCCTGGGGAGGCCCCATCTGGAGCACTGGGTCCAGTTCTGGGCTCCCCAGTTCCAGAAGGACAGGGAACTGCTGGAGAGGGGACAGCAGAGGGCTACAGAGATGATGAGGGGCCTGGAGCATCTCTCCTACAAGGAAAGGCTGAGGGGTTTGGGTCTTTTTAGTCTGGAGAAGAGAAGACTGAGGGGGGATCTGATCAACACCTATAAATACTTCAAGGGTGGGTGTCAGGAGGATGGGGCCAGTGTTTTTCCAGTGACAGGACAAGAGGGAATGGGCACAAACTTGAACAGAGGAAGTTCCATCTCAACATGAGGAGGAACTTCTTTACTGTGAAGGTGGCAGAGCCCTGGCAGAGGCTGCCCAGGGAGGTGGTGGAGTCTCCTTCTCTGGAGACATTCCAAATCCACCTGGACACGTTCCTGTGCAACCTGCTCTGGGTGACCCTGCTTTGGCAGGGGGTTGGCCTAGATGATCTCCAGAGGTCCCTTCCAACCCCATATCACTCTGGGATTCTGTAATAGTAGTGCTTTCATCATCCACAGAAGCCTAGAAAAGATAATTCCAATAAAATCACCAGTCATCTCAGGTGCAACAGTGAGAGAAGTCATAATATAAAAAATAATAAATCAAAGATAAACAGATGTGGGGTTTCAGTCCTTCTTGGTTTTCCAGCCCTTTCGTTCTACCCCTTAATCTAAAAACTTTTTTGGAGCAGATTTTGCTTGCTCAGGAAAAGATGGGTCCTAGGGGCAGCCGTTTAACTGCCAGCTGTGAAATGTCCAGGATACCTAAAGAAGGATTTCCACCCTTACGCGCGGGGTCGGGGAGGACCCTGTGCAAAGAGATGGCTCCCACTTGCTGGCTGATTAGGGGTTCCAGACCTTGATGAATGAAACAATTGCACTCCAGCCAAGAAGCACCAAATTGCCTTTCTTAATGTTAATCAAAGCTCTCAGCTCCCCAGAGAGGCAGGGATAATTCATCCGTCCTACACACTGAGAGCAATTTGAGGTACCTGCTCTCGAAAGCAACAAAACACCCCAAACCTAAAATGCTGTTTGTTTTCAATAAGCTTAAGGGGCCGGAGTGCCAAATTCATTTTTAAAGCATGGCTTAGGGCCCTGGAGAATCTCTTTTTCTATGGAACTTTCCCCAAAGTTTAATTTTTATTTTTGCTATCTGCTTTTCTCTTTTGCGCAATAACCCAGTTGCTCCAGTGGCACCTTCCTGCTGGTGGGATGGGATAAATTGGTTTCCTTCTGCTGTTAGTGGATTTGTTTGGTTCATGTAGGAGGATTTTTTTCTTTCTCCTTAATTCCTTTTGCTCTATTTTTTTTTTTTTTTTAGTAGCTGGCCTAAAATAAAGCTGACCCATGAACAGCAACGGATTTTGAATCACAAAATTGAGCATGGTCAAATAGTGAAAATTATGGCATTTGCAGGTAAGAACCAAAAATCGTGTTGTAAAAATAAAACTGTAACCTCTAATTTTGCTCCTGCCCTCCCTGCTTCTTCTGTCAAGGAACTGTGTGGATGCCAGAAGGAGTAAACCTTATTTTTAATCAACACAAAAAAAATCAGAGCAAGCTTTTGCAGAGAAATGGGAACGTGGTTACTCCTGTGAAAGCTGGGTAAATGTTTCGACCCGTGCTGAACCTGTTCTTGTCCACAGGCCACTAGACAGAGTCCCTCTTAGTTGTTTAGAGTTAGCATCCCTGTGGAGCAACACAAGCCAAGAAATCTTATCACAGAATCACCACGGTTGGAAGGACCTCTGAGATCATCGAGTCCAACCTTAATTTTTTATTATTTTTTTTTTTTTAATCATAGAATCATAGAACTGCCAGAAGGGGTAAACCTTATTTTTAATCAACACAAAAAAAATCAGAGCAAGCTTTTGCAGAGAAATGGGAACGTGGTTACTCCTGTGAAAGCTGGGTAAATGTTTCGACCCGTGCTGAACCTGTTCTTGTCCACAGGCCACTAGACAGAGTCCCTCTTAGTTGTTTAGAGTTAGCATCCCTGTGGAGCAACACAAGCCAAGAAATCTTATCACAGAATCACCACGGTTGGAAGGACCTCTGAGATCATCGAGTCCAACCTTAATTTTTTATTTTTTTTTTTTTAATCATAGAATGGTTTGGGTTGGAAGGGACCTTAAAGGTCATCCAGATCCAACCCCGTGCCATGGGCAGGGACACCTCCCACTACACCAGGTTGCTCAAAGTCCCATCCAGCCTGGACTTGAACCCCTCCAGGGATGGGGCAGCCACAGCTTCTCGGGGCAACCTGGGCCAGGCTCTCACCACCTTCACAGTAAACAAGTTCTTCCCCACAGCTCATCTCCATCTCCCCAGTGTCAAACCCTTCCCTCCCCTCCCTCATCAAGAGTCCCTCCCCATCTCTCCTGGAGCCCCTTGAGGGACTGGAAGGGGCTCTAAGGTCTCCCCGGAGCCTTCTCTTCTCCAGGCTGAACCCCCCCAACTCTCTCAGCCCCCCCTCCCAGCAGAGGGGCTCCAGCCCTCCCAGCATCTCCGTGGCCTCCTCTGGCCCCGCTCCAACTGGTCCATGTCCCTCCTGTGCTATGGTCCTTCTGCACTTGTGCGCTGTTTTGAAAAGGGGAATTGTATAAAATTGACGGTCCTTCTACACTTGTGCACTGTTTTGAAAAGGGGAATTGTATAAAATTGACAGAGCCTGTTTAAAAAAAAAGAAAAAGCAAAGCAAAATTAAATAATCTCCCTCCACCTGCAGAGAATTTCCTTTTGAAGATACCAGGCTGGGTATCTTCAAAATCTAATGCGTGCTCTCTAATCACCACAGCACAGAAGCCATAAATAAGTCATTTCTTATGTCTGTACAAAGTCACAGTGTCCAAAAGAGAAAAATGGGAATGTTCATGAGCTTTGCCAGGTTACGTGTCACCACAAGAAGGTAGGGCAGAGAAAGAGCTTGAGGAACGGTGGGCAAAAAGCATAAAAGACTCATAATCCTCCTTCAAACATGTGGACGAGGATGCCTGTGATGCTACCTGGGGTGTAAAGGATGCCTTAGAGTGAACGATGCGGTGGCAGAAAAGCTAAATGAATTTCTGCATCTGTGTTCCTCGTAGGAGGTCTTGGAAAGAACCAGTTTTGGGATCCTTCTCTATAAGGGGGTCCACCAGAGGGTCGATCTCACATTCCTATGGGAAAGGTTGTGGGTGGAATACACGTTGGTATTGTTTGTTTCATGATCTGGGCTACATGATCTGGACTACACCACCCAGGAGATGGAAAGGAACTTCAGGGTGAAGTGGCCAAATTAGTGTGTGGCCAAACCAGTCACCAGAGTGTGACTTCTTGCGGAAAGCTCCTGTGGAAGCTTTTCCTGTCCCAGGAAAAATGGTAGAAATCCTAGTTGGTTAAAAGCTAGGAAGCAAAAGTAGGAGCAGATGGTCAATTTTCTGCATGGAGAGTGGTAACCACTGGAGTCCTGCAGAGATCTCTGCTGGGACCTGCTTTGCTTGATGTTGATGAGTCCTCTGGGAGGAGTGTGATGAGCAAGGTGACACTGTGTCATCATTGAGGATATGGAAGTGGGCAAAGAAGGAGATGTGGAGAGCCCTTCTTGCCTCTGGTTTCTGTTGGGTACTCCACGAGCAAGACAGCTGTGCCAGGAGGTGTGGACAGTGCGGTCCTGCAACAACCTGGAGTAAAGGAGAGCAGCTTTAGTGGGAAATCTTACCAGGGAACGAGCTCATGAATCATTTAAAAAAGCAATTTTAACATTTCATTTACCAAGGTGGCCTTCAAGAGAACCGGTACCTTCTAGAATATTGGGTGATAAAATGATTTGGGTTGTTTTTTTTTAAAAAAAAAAGCTTTTAGGCTGCAGACTGCAATTTTTCAAAGCTGCTTTTCTCCACAGCTTCTGCTGATTTCAGTTCAGGCAGTGAATAAATTCCCCATTAGCTGGGAGAAGTCCTGCTGTGCAGTTAGGAGAGCAGAGCAGGAAGGTGAAGCTGATGAAAGACGTGAGGGTTCATTCATTCCTGACTCTGGATTATGTTTTTTATTTACATTCTTCTGCTCTTCAGGTACAGGAAAGACTTCAACCTTGGTCAAGTATGCAGAGAAGTTTCCTGATCTGAATTTCCTTTACGTGACCTTTAACAAAGCTGTTGCAGAGAGGGGCAAAAGTGTCTTCCCCAGCAACGTCACCTGCAAGACTTTCCATTCGTTGGCCTTTGGAAGCGTCGGCAAACAGTGAGTGTGTGGGTTTGACATTCCTTCATTGGAGAGAAGGAAATAAAACATCTCAGGAAAGCAAGGTCTAGGTTTGAAATAAGCCTCCGGGGGCTTGTGCAAGCGAAAAATAACGGGGGGGAAATGACTTCTTTCGCTGGCTTCAGGCTGGATTGTGATTTACGGTTTCCAAATTCTTTCAGATTGGATGGGCCAGTGATTTTAGCTTTCCAGATGAGCCTGGGGAAGCAGATTCATTGCCCTGCTCTGCCATAGACTGTGCTGACATAAGCCCCATTGATGGTCTGGGGGCTGTTTTCTGCACCTGGGCCGGAACAATCCTCGCCACCAATACAAACTAGGGGGGGAGGTATTGGAAAGCAGCCCTGAGGAAAGGGACTTGGGGGTGCTGGTGGACAAGAAGCTGGACATGAGCAGGCAGTGGGCACTTGCAGCCCAGAAGGCCAATCACATCCTGGGCTGCATCAAAAGAAGCGTTGCCAGCAGGTCCAGAGAGGGGATTCTGCCACTTTGCTCTGCTCTGGTGAGACCTCACCTGGAGTACTGTGTGCAGGTCTGGAGCCCTCAATATAAGAAGGACATGGACCTGATGGAGAGGGTCCAGAGGAGGGCCATAAGGATGATCAGGGGGATGGAGCCCCTCTGCTACCAGGCTGAGGAAGCTGGGGTTGTTCAGCCTGGAGAAGAGGAGGCTCCGGGGAGACCTAATAGCAGCCTTCCAGTACCTGAAGGGAGCCTACAGGAAGGCTGGGGAGAACCTGTTTAGAAAGGCCTGCAGTGACAGGACGAGGGGCAATGGCTTCAAGCTGGAGGGGAACAGATTTAGATTGGAGATGAGGAGAGGGTTCTTCACTGTGAGGGTGGTGGAGCACTGGAACAGGCTGCCCAGGGAGGTGGTTGAGGCCCCATCCCTGGAGATATTCAAGGAGAGGCTCGACGAGGCCCTGGGCAACCTGGTCTAGTTGGGGGGGTCCCTGCTGACTGCGGGGAGGTTGGACTAGGTGACCTTTGGAGGTCCCTTCCGGCCTGGGCAATTCTATGATTCTATGATTCTCTGTTTTGCCTGTGTTTGTAGCCAAGGAGCACTCCACGGGGAGAGAGAAAGCCACCAAGAATGGCCTTTTCACATTTCCCATTTACACCTCAGTGGTACAACCCCTCTAAATGCTGCTTTTCTTTAGCAGAGGAGGGGTTTTGTTAACCTGAATTGTTGTTCTGACACAGTTTCTGGCCAATTATATTGGTACATCTAAACTGCAGACAGACGGGAAAATGAGGCACAACCTGGAAGAAGAGGGGAATCCTCTTACGTGGCTTTGAAAACAGTCTGTAATTGCAAGGATGAATGATGGGAATATCTCTCTGGCTTGACTTTTCATCTCTAAAATGAACAAGTTTGTGCTTCTACCAGGAATACAGTGAGGATAAATATGTGCAGATTTTAAAGATATTCCATTACTAGGGTCAAAATGGGTTTATAAAACTTCGCAAGAGGAGCAAAAATGAGCTTGCATTTGCAGCAGGTGTTTCTTGTGTGTATCAACATGTCTCTCTTCTGTTTTGGTTTTTTTTTTGTCACCTGTGACTCAGCTATAAAGAAAAAGGCAAGCTAAACTTCTCCAAGATGTCAGCTTACTCCATCAGTTTCCTTCTCCAGAACCGTGAGGGACAATCTCTGTTTGTAAGAGGGAAAACAGTCTCGCAGACCCTGGAAAACTTTTTTGCCTCTGCAGATGATGAGATCTGTGAAGAGCACACTCCTATTTGGTTCAAAAATACTCATGGTGAGAGAAAACTTGTCAGTCCACAGGAAAAAAGGGTGAGTGTCTGAGATGAAGCAAGACTTGGGCTGGAAGGGTTAGAAGGCTTAGAAGAGGCTGTAGCTGCCCCACATCTCTCATAGTTCATGGGTGTTTGTGCTTCAGCTGCAAGAACTGACTGTCAAAATGTGGTTTTTTTTTACCTCTGGTGACAAATCCAAAGGAACTGGAGCTTCTTTGTTCTCCCCGTTGGCGCAGCTGGTTTCTAGAGAGGAGATTATCACCATCTCTGCTCAGTGCAGATATTTCTTCCCTGCAAGGAAAAGAGAGAAGAGATTGCATGTATTTATACCAGTGCCTGAAAGCCGTTTGTGATATTATATGTAAAGACAATAAACATTTTCATAGTCATTTTGAGACACAGAATCATAGAATCCTAGAATTGTCCAGGCCAGAAGGGACCTCCAATTTTTTTTTTTGCCTCTGGTGACAAATCTAAAGGAACTGGAGCTTCTTTGTTCTCCCCGTTGGCGCAGCTGGTTTCTAGAGAGGAGATTATCACCATCTCTGCTCAGTGCAGATATTTCTTCCCTGCAAGGAAAAGAGAGAAGAGATTGCATGTATTTATACCAGTGCCTGAAAGCCGTTTGTGATATTATATGTAAAGACAATAAACATTTTCATAGTCATTTTGAGACACAGAATCATAGAATCCTAGAATTGTCCAGGCCAGAAGGGACCTCCAAAGGTCATCTAGTCCGACCTCCCCGCAGTCAGCAGGGACAACCCCAGAGTTGAACCCCAAAAATCTTTATGGCCTCAAGTTGTGCCAGGGGAGGTTTAGATTGGATATTAGGAGAAATTTCTTCATGGAAAGGGTTCTCCAGCGTTGGAATAGGCTGCCCAGGGAAGTGGTTGAGGCACCATCCCTGGAGGTGTTCAAAAGACAGGTTGACATGGTCCTCAGGAATATGGTTTGGTGATTTTTTTATTGCTTATTTCTTATTTATTTTTTTGTCAGGGTTAGGTTGATGGTTGGACTAGATGATCTTTAAGGTCCCTTCCAACCTAGACGATTCTATGATTCTAATCTCTAATATAGAGTAGAGGCATCTTAGCAACACTTCAACAAGGTGGGGTGGACTTCTGGAGAAAGTTAGCCTTTGTCCTCCATGTTGATCACATCTGCTCATTGACCAGCCAGCAGAAACTCGATTTGTGATCATTATTTCTGGCGGGGAATGAATTGACAGCCTCAAAATATTAAATCCCTTTAGGCACCTTGCAAGCTGTTCAGAGAAGCCAAAATAAACACAAAGTGTGAATGGGCAGAGGTTAGGGGGTCCTGTATTATACTGTCCTAATACCTGAGCCAAAGAAATGTTCAAGGCCAGGTTGGAGGGGGCTTTGAGCAACCTGGTCTGGTGGGAGGGGTCCCTGCCCATGGCAAGGGGTTGGAACTCGATGGTCTTTAAGGTTCCTTCCAACCCAAACCATTCTATGATGCTTTTTTAGGGGGCTGCGTTTGGAAAAGACTATGTTGAGGAAAAGAACTTAAACAGGTAGTGACAAAGAAGAGAAGTAGGAGGAGAAAGGCTTCAGAGAAGCTTCTGAGGGCTTCAGAGAAGCCTTTCAAGATCTGCTGTGCCTGGACTGTTCTTCTGCTCAAAGTGATCTATCCAGACCCTTCTGTTTTCTCCTTCTAGATCTTAGGGGGCTGCATTTGGAAAAGACTATGTTGAGGAAAAGAACTTAAACTGGTGGTGACAAAGAAGAGAAGTAGGAGGAGAAAGGCTTCAGAGAAGCTTCTGAGGGCTTCAGAGAAGCCTTTCAAGATCTGCTGTGCCTGGACTGTTCTTCTGCTCAAAGTGATCTATCCAGACCCTTCTGTTTTCTCCTTCTAGATCAACGTGGAAGAGGCGAAAGAGATATGGTACAACATGAAGAAGCTGGATGGAGACGTAGAGAAGAAGTACAGGATAACTTGTGATGGTAAGAGGGTACAGGGGTCAAGCAGCCTCCAGATAAAGAGCTGTGGTAGAAAACTGAAAGGATTCATACTTCTTACCGGCCGTGGACCGGGATCGAGCATCAAAAAGTATAAAATTCCTGTTCTCCCACCAGTAGCTCACCAGGGAGCTCAAAACAGACCCGAAGGTTGGAAGTTCATTTGTTTTTCCTGTTTGGCCTCAAAAAAAAAAGATGGTGGAACTATCAGGCAGCAAAATCCTGGAAATAATGGGTGAGAAGGTGGCTGAATGAATGCGAACAGCACGTTTTTATTCCTTGCTGCTGCTGGTGTGTCCTTCCCTCTTGCTTCTTAGCACGTGTGTAGATAATTCCAGAGGTAGCACATACTGGGGAAACCCTTCTTCTTTGTCATTTAATTTGTGCAGAGAAAAAAACCTCTTCTTATAAGTTTTGGAGTCATCAGTGGGCCTGTCTGTCTCCAGTGCAGTTGGGTTGTTTTCTTTTGGTCTTTTGTTTTTTTTTTCTTTCCCCATGTTTCATACAGCCAAGGGAAATAGAGCAACATCTGGGAGCCACAGAAATTTTCGCAACCACTCCAAACATCACGGAATTCCAAGCAAGAAGTAGGGCCAGAAATGTTTCTTTTTTTTTTTTTTAACAACAAGGGACTTGTTTTAAGGATCGCGGTGTTTTATGATGAAAAAAGGAGCGTCTCACTGACAGGCCTTGTTCTTCCTCAGGGTATTTGAAACTTTGGCAGCTCAGCAAGCCTCAGCTCTCAGGATACGATGCCATTTTTGTGGATGAAGCCCAGGACTGTACTCCAGGTGAGTGGTGACAGGAGCTGCAGCCTTCCTAAGCGCTTCACAGGGAGGATGTTCATGTGCTTGCTAAAAAAATATCTGCTCCTCAGCTTTAGGGACCCAAACGTGCCTTCCCAACCCTTTTCCTCTTGCTTTGCTGCTAACAGAGAGAAACAGAACACCAGCGTAGCCAAGGATGTGGTTTATTACAAGAATGGTGAGATATTCAGTGGTTCAGCTATAAGAAGAGCAGACCTGCTCCATCCCAGCCCGGCACTGGGTGCAAGTCTTCTCCATTCCTTGCACCACCCTGGAGATTCCTGAGTTACGTAGCAGAAAGCTGTTGGCAGGTGGAGGGAGGTCATCCTCCCCCTCTGCTCTGCCCTGGGGAGGCCACAGCTGGAGCACTGGGTCCAGTTCTGGGCTCCCCAGTTCAAGAAGGACAGGGAACTGCTGGAGAGGGTACGGAAGAGGCTACAAAGATGGTGAGGAGCCTGGAGCATCTCTCTGATGAAGAAAGGCTGGGAGACCTGGGCCTGCTCAGCCTGGAGATGAGAAGACTGAGAGGGGACTCAGCCTGGAGATGAGGAGACTGAGAGGGGATCTCATTGATGCTGAGCAATAGCTAAAGGGTGGGTGTCAGGAGGATGGGGCCAGTCTTTTTTCAGTGGTGCCCAGTGACAGGACAAGGGACAACAGGCACAAGCTGGAACATGGGAAGTTCCACCTAAACATGAGGAGGAACTTCTTCCTTTGAGGGTGGAACAGGCTGGAACAGGCTGCCCAGAGAAGTGGTGGAGTCTCCTTCTCTGGAGACATTCAAAAACCCTGGACACGTTCATGTGGGACCTGCTCTGGGTGGACCTGCTCTGGCAGGGGGTTGGACTAGATGATCTCCAGAGGTCCCTTCCAACTCCTACCATTCCATGATTCTGTGATTCTTTCCTGGGGATATGGGGATCACCTCTCTGTTGCAAAGCAAGTTGAATCGGTTCTGCAAGAGCATCTAAGTGGGCCAAACTGTGTGCTGAGGAGCAAAAGAAGCTCTGAAATACCTTTTCAGCAGGTATTAAATCAACTCAAAGGCTTCATCAGACCATGTCCCACCTGTACTCACTGGAGATCTGGTCTTGCAGTTGCTCTGCTGGTGTGACTGAGCCTTAGGCAGGCTTGTTTGAAGTAGAACGGAGGGTTTTCTGAGGTGTGCAATGAGTTTGGGTCACTGGGGATGGGTGGTGGATTTGTGCTGGTCTCACACATGTGGGATTAAGATGCTGTGAAGCTCTAGTCCAAGAAAAAATACCATCAGACTGAAAGAGTGGGAGGATGTTTGTAAAACTCCCGGTCAGCTGCGTTCTTCCCTTTGCTGTCTCCTGCAGCTGTGTTGACCCTTTCTTAAATGCCGTGAATCATCAAGCAAGAGATCTTGCCTTTCTGCAGTCAAAAGATTTAGATTAGCTCTTAGGAAGAAATTCTTTGCTGTGAGGGTGGTGAGAGCCTGGCCCAGGTTGCCCAGAGAAGCTGTGGCTGCCCCATCCCTGGAGGGGTTCAAGGCCAAGGTTGGAGGGGGCTTGGAGCAACCTGGTCTGGTGGGAGGTGTCCCTGCCCAGGGCAGGGGGGTTGGAACTGGATGGTCTTTAAGGTCCCTTCCAACCCAAACCATTCTACAATTCTATGATATTGTACAGTTCACTCTTAGTTTGTGAGCAGGCTCCCCCTTAACGCTCCCATGTTCTCCTGCAGCCATCGTGGATATTATCCGGTCACAAAAATGCGGCATAATCCTCGTAGGAGACCCTCACCAGCAGATCTACACCTTCCGAGGTGCCGTCAATACCCTCTACTCAGTGCCTCACACCCACGTCTACTACCTCACCCAGGTAAGATGAAGGGTTTGCTGCTGTCCTTCCCTGGACACGTTCCTGATGTGGTGGAAAATGTTTAACGTCCTTCTTAGTTGACAAATGGCTGATAGTTGACAAACGGCTGAATATGAGCCGGCCGTGTGCCCAGGTGGCCAAGAAAGCCAATGGCATTCTGGCTTGTATCAAAAATAGTGTGACCAGCAGAAGTAGGGAGGTGATTGTGCCCCTGTACTCAGCACTGGTGAGGCCACACCTTGAGTATTGTGTCCAGTTTTGGGCACCTCAATACAAGAGAGATCTCGAGGTGCTGGAGCGAGTGCAGAGGAGGGCAACGAAGCTGGTGAAGGGCCTGGAAAACAAATCGTATGAGGATCGGCTGAGGGAGCTGGGACTGTTTAGTTTGAGGAAGAGGAGGCTGAGGGGAGACCTCATCACTCTCTACAACTACTTGAAAGGACACTGTAGAGAGGTTGGGGCTGGTCTCTTCTCACAGGTAATTAGTGACAGAACGAGAGGGAACGGCTTCAAGCTCCAATAGGGGAGGTTTAGATTGAACATTAGGAAGGAATTTTTCACCAAAAGAGTGATAGGGCATTGGAACAGGCTGCCCAGGGAGGGGGTGGAGTCGGTTTGCTGCTGTCCTTCCCTAGATGGGTTCCTGATGTGGTGGAAAATGTTTAATGTCCTTCTTCTGAAGGCCAGACTGCTTGAGTTTGTCACCGTGGAGTGTTTGCCTTGCCTGGATTAGGGGCTTTGCTTTGCTGTTCACACTCTGCACTGCAGAGCTCCTTCGGGTCTCTTACTGGAGTGATCCCATCACTAGGAAAGCCATAGTGGCTTGAAACATGGGTCCTGGGGTAGAGACCTCAGCGTATGGCTTATTTCAAGGAGATCCCTTCATTTCTGGGTTAGTTCTCAGCTCCAGCTGAGGGGGCAGGGGCAAATATCCATCTTCTCACATGGCCAGTCCATTGCAATGGTGGTTCTTGTGCACAGAGATGGGAGTTAGAAGCGAGGAGATGATCTGGCAGTGACCTTCTTGAAATAAAACCACGTTGATTAAGGAGGACATATTTGCTGGCTGTACACACAATCTTCTTTTCTGGCTCTGTACAAACTCTGGCATTGCCACCCCTGTCCCACCGGTGCCCCTTTTTCTGTGATATCTCCTCCCCTGTTTGTCTGACAAGGGCGTAATTTTCAGCAGCAGCTTCAGCTGATCTGGGTTTGCCCTGGCAAAGAGCTCCCGCCTTCTTTCAGCACGAGTGATGTTTGTGTCTCCAGGCTGGATGATCTAAGCTGCTCCTGTGCCAATTGAAAGCTCACCCTGATAAGTTTTTTGGCCTGATTAACCACAATTCTCACAGCTGATACAAGGGAGGAACTGGCCCTTTGGGAATCCTTGCAGAATAAATCAGCTTAAACCAGCAATATAAGGTGCAAGGTGACCAGTTCCTAAGCCAGAATGGTCACCACAACACATCTGTCCACCCGAGCTGCCTTTTCCCCTTGCACCCCACCAGCCTTGCCAAGGGGCAGGAGTCAGGGATGGGCATGTAGGAACGGGAACCACATTTGTTTGTGATGGCACGGCTTGTGACAGCTTTTGGGACCAGCCTTGCCTCATCTCACCTCGCTCGTGGAGTTGTTTTGGCTCACAAGATTTTCCACTTCTCTTTGCTGGTGGAGGCGATGTGCTCAGCCAGGCACTGGGTTGTTTTTTTTTTTAATCAAGGCATTAGCGAAACTTAATTAGAGAATCACAGAATCACATGGGGTTGGAAGGGACCTCTGGAGATCATCCAGTCCAACCCCCTGCCAGGACAGGGTCACCCAGAGCAGGTCCCACAGGAACGTGTCCAGCCAGGTTTGGGATGTCTCCAGTGAAGGAGACTCCACCACCTCCCTGGGCAGCCTCTTCCAGGGCTCTGCCACCCTCACAGGAAAGAAGTTCCTCCTCATGTTTAGGTGGAACTTCTTATATTCAAGTTTGTGCCCATTTCCTCTTACCCTGTCCCTGGGCACCACTGAAAAAAGACTGGTCCCATCCTCCTGACACCCACCCTTGAAGTATTGATAAGCGGAAGTGATCAGGGTTTCTAGGAATAGTTTGGGAGAATTTGGGTGCTTTTCCTGAGAGAAACATGGTCCAGAAGGTTTGTGGGAATTGTATAGTCCCATATATAGCAATACTTTCGTAGGTTGTAATGAAGAGCGATCAGGGTTTCTAGGAATAGTTTGGGAGGATTTGGGTGCTTTTCCTGAGAGAAACCTTGTCCAGAAGGTTTGTGGGAATTGTATAGTTCCATATATAGCAATACTTTCGTAGGTTGTAACAAGTTCCTCTTCTTTTCTTGCTGTTCCCTTCATATTTTTTTTCCACATAGAGTTTCAGATTTGGTCCTGAAATAGCTTACGTTGGAGCGACCATCCTGGATGTCTGCAAGAGGATCAGGAATAAGACATTAGTGGGTGGAAACCAAAAGGGTAAGTTGTGTTGGTGCACCATTGGTCTTGGTCAGTTCTGTTTGGGACCGCGAGTCACCGAGCTCCTGTGGTAACAAACAAAATGTCTCGGGATTAACCCTGATTTATGAAAATCCTTGGGTTTTAGATGCCTGTTTTCTAACTGCGCCGGCTGATGGGGAGTTTTCTTCCTGCAGGTGATGTGAGAGGCAGCATGGAAAGGAAGATAACAATCTTATCACGAAGCAATTTTAATGTCTTCGAGGACGCTGTGAAACTTACTGGAAGGGAGAGACTAATTAAAATACACATGATTGGGGTAAGAGGAAATTGCCTTTCACCTGTCCCCAAGCCCGGTAGCGCTTGTAGCAGCAACACCTCTGTGTGCCTTGAGATAGAATCACAGAATGGTTTGGGTTGGAAGGGACCTCAAAGATCATCTAGTTCCAACCCCCCTACCCTTGGCAGGGACACCTCCCACCAGACCAGGTTGCTCCAAGCCCCATCCAGCCTGGCCTTGAACCCCTCCAGGGATGGGGCATCCACAAAATAGATGGGGCCGATCTGTAGCACCCAGGTTTAAAACTAATATTCGAGGAAAAAAGCAGCAATCTCTTGGGGCTGGGGATGGGTTGTTTGGAAATAGCCAATCTGTAGCACCCAGGTTTAAAACTAATATTCGAGAAAGAAAGCAGCAATCTCTTGGGGCTGGGGATGGGCTGTTTGGAGCAGTTGTTCCTCAAATCTCTGCAGGTTGAGGCTCCCTTTTTAGGGAGCCTCATCAGTCCCTTTTTTTCATGAGATGAGAGAGCAGCAGCTCCATTCTGCTGGGTGGGGCAGGGGAATCATAGAATCACAGAATGGTTTGAGTTGGAAGGGACCTTAAAGACCATCTAGTTCCAACCTCTTTCCCTGGGCAGGGACACCTCCCACCAGACCAGGTTGCTCCAAGCCCCCTCCAACCTGGTCTTGAACCCCTCCAGGGATGGGGCAGCCACAGCTTCTCTGGGCCAACCTGGGCCAGGCTCTCACCACCCTCACAGCAGAGAATTTCTTCCTGAGATCTCATCTCAATCTCCCTTCTTTCAGTTTAAAACCATTAGCCCTTGTCCTGTGCCTCCCCTCCCTCATCAAGAGTCCCTCCCCATCTCTCCTGGAGCCCCTTGAGGGACTGGAAGGGGCTCTAAGGTCTCCCTGGAGCCTTCTCTTCTCCAGGATGAACCCCCCCAACTCTCTCATCCCCCCCTCCCAGCAGAGGGGCTCCAGCCCTCCCAGCATCTCCATGGTCTCCTCTGGCCCCATCCAACAGCTCCATGTCCTTCCTGTGCTGAAGGAAGAGTGACATTTGGCTGTAACAATTTGCTGCAGGTACTTGCATTGGATGGAGCCGCCGGCGGTGGCACAGCGTTCCTTCATTAGGGACATAAAAAAATCAGCTGTAATTGCAGGTTGGGTGTAAAAGCAGTGAAAGGCAGTTGGCTCTGCCCTGAGAGGATCAGCATTTTTCAATCTCTCTTGAAAGATGAAGACAGTGGTTGAAGCTGAAGGTGACCTTTGGGCTTGTGGATGCCACCGAGGGCTGGGCTGGGGCTCATTCCCAATTTCCAGACCTGTGATGATCCGGTCCCTGTCTCCATACACCCAGGAAAGATGGTTCACCAGCTTTGTTGGTGAGGGGAGTTGAGATTTTTCAGCAATGCTGAATGTTAACCCCTTGAGGGAGCTGCAGTTCTGAGGTTTGCACTGAACTTTCATTTGCAAAAACCACCCCCGTATCTGAAGAAGGAGAGTCTGCAGAAATTCACATCCTTGAACTGCAGGAAGGTTTTTTATAAGGCTCCACATTTCAAAAGCCTCAGAGGAATCATCAGCCTTCAAAATCTGAACCATCAATACCTATGATTTAATTTGAGATGTTGTCCCACATCCAGAAACATAGAATGATATGAACAGGTGTCCTGGCTCTGAATATATTTACAGACGAGCTGGCCTTTTGAATTTTAGGCTGATATTTTAAATTCTTAATCTTTTTTTGCACCAGAAAGCTGCATATTGGAACAGAATGAGTGTTTGAACTGAAAATCCAGGACTGAAATTCTCATTTGCCCTTGCAGTTTGGAACAAGTCTAAGTTCAGACTGAAGCTTCTTTTGATGGAACAAAACCACCCAAATTTGGAAACAAGGGAGAAAAAATACTTTCTGAAAGTAAAACCTTACCAAAGCAAAGCCTTTTGTTTCAGTTTACATTGAAAAGGAAACATTTACAGTCAGTTTAGTGGGTTTATCTTCACGGTGGTGGCCCATCGTGCCAGGAAAGAGGATGCAGTCATTCCTGGAGCTGGCTTTCCCACGACACAGCGTGGAGTCATTAGGCCAAATGAATTTATGGCACAACAATCTTTTAAAGTTCATTTTAACAAAGCAACATGCAGCTATTAAAAGCCAAAATGACCAAAAACGGAACCTTTTTTTTTGTGTGTGTGTGTGTTAGCAAAAGAGAAAGCATTATAGAATTAATTTTATTTTTTTCTTTGAAAAGTCCTCGGAATAGAAAATTCTGCTGTAGATCTCTTAAAATGCCCATCAGACAGAGTCCCATTTCATTGGCTTTTCAGCTGCCTTTGATCTGCACCTTCAGGAAAGCGTTATAGAATTAATTTTATTTTTTTCTTTGAAAAGTCCTCGGAATAGAAAATTCTGCTGTAGATCTCTTAAAATGCCCATCAGACAGAGTCCCATTTCATTGGCTTTTCAGCTGCCTTTGATCTGCACCTTCAGGGATTTTGGGAAACCAGCTCTTGCACCTTCAGCACGTTTGCCTTATTCCCTCCTTTTTAACACCAGTAGCTACTGGGTCCTGCTCTAGCTCTTCTGGAAACTCTTAAGACAGCACCTTGACTCCTGAATATTGAGAATGAATTGTTGTTTGGTTTAGGGACTTGCCCGTTTTGGCCTGAGCAGAATTTATGATATTTGGAAACTCAGTCAACCCGCGGATGAACGGAAGAAAGGTGAGTACATCGTCCCCCTCCTCTCTGTGTGTGCTCCTTCTTACAGCTGCAGTGGGATTTTCAGTTTTTTGCTGCAGTGATCACAGAATCCCAGAATGATACGGGGTTGGAAGGGAGCTTTGGAGATCATCTAGTCCAACCCCCTGCCAGAGCAGGTCCACCCAGAGCAGGTCCCACAGGAACGTGTCCAGGAGGGTTTTGAATGTCTCCAGAGAAGGAGACTCCACCACCTCCCTGGGCAGCCTCTTCCAGGGCTCTGCCACCCTCAAAGTGAAGAAGCTCCTCCTCATGTTGAGATGGAACTTCTTATATTCAAGTTTGTGCCCATTCCCTCTTGTCCTGTCACTGGGCACCACTGGAAAAAGCCTGGCCCCATCCTCCTGACACCCACCCTTGAAGTATTTATGGGTGTTGATCAGATCCCCCCTCAGCCTTCTCTTCTCCAAAATAAAAAGACCCAAGTCCCTCAGCCTCTCCTCATAAGAGAGATGCTCCAGGCCCCTCAGCATCTTTGTAGCCCTAATGATGGAAAGCAACACGCTTCTTGATGGTTTATTTTATATTTCCTCATGCAGTTATCTGTTGAAAACTGACTTCTCAGTGGTAGTGTCATGGGCTCTGCTATTTCATCTGCTTCGGTGGCTGGTGTTAGTACCAGAAATGCTGGAATGGTGGGGCCTGTGTCGTGCAGCACCCCCCCAGCTTTTCTTTGAGATGCCTGATCTTGAGTGCAAGAGCCCAGGAAACTCATAGATTACGTTTTTTTTTTTCCTATGTTTTCTGATTTGACTTCATGTTTCATTTAGAATCACAAAATGGTTTACATTGGAAGGGATCTTAAAGAACATCCAGTTCCAACCCCGTGCCATGGGCAGGGACACCTCCCACCAGACCAGGTTGCTCCAAGCGCTCAGTGGTAGTGTCAGGGGCTCTGCTCTTTCATCCACTTTGGTGGCTGGTGTTAGTACCAGAAATGCTGGAATTGTGGGGCCTGTGTCGTGCAGCACCCCCCCAACTTTTCTTTGAGATGCCTGATCTTGAGTGCAAGAGCCCAGGAAACTCATAGATTGTGGTTTTTTTTTTCTCCTATGTTTTCTGATTTGACTTCATGTTTCATTTAGAATCATAGAATGGTTTACATTGGAAGGGATCTTAAAGACCAACGTTTTTTTTTTTCCTATGTTTTCTGATTTGACTTCATGTTTCATTTAGAATCACAAAATGGTTTACATTGGAAGGGATCTTAAAGACCATCCAGTTCCAACCCCGTGCCATGGGCAGGGACACCTCCCACCAGACCAGGTTGCTCCAAGCCCCATCTAACCTGTTTTTTAACCTCCAGAGATTTCTCTTAGGCTTTTCCTGGTCTATTTTATTTTTAGTCCTGGTGTGATGGTTTACATTGGAAGAGATCTTAAAGAACATCCAGTTCCAACCCCGTGCCATGGGCAGGGACACCTCCCACCAGACCAGGTTGCTCCAAGCCCCATCCAACCTGTTTTTTATCCTCCAGAGATTTGTCTTAGGCTTTTCCTGGTCTATTTTATTTTAAGTCCTGGTGTGTCAAATGCTCTGACACAGGCTTTCTTTTCACTGGTGGATATAATTTAGAAAATAAATCCTTCATTTACAGTCTCCCCCTGCCCTGGCAACAGTAGGCAAGTATTGTTAGATATGGGGCACAGGACTTACTGGAACTACCAGGAGTGATTGATTACGTGGGTGGTTTTACTGGTTCTTTGGAAGGTGAACTACCAGGAAAACTCCTTGCCATCTGGGTAATAAAAGGGGAATAATACAGGTCGGAAGGACCCTGAGGCTGTGCCTGCCCTGATGTCAAATTAAGATTCTTTTTCCTTCAGTTTCCAAATACTTTCACTGAATTGCACAATTGGAAGGTACCATAGAGATCATCTAGTCCAACTCTCCTGCTGAAGCAGGACCACCCAGAGCTTGTCAGAGCATGTTACTCAGGAGCATCCAGGCGGGTCTTGAAAATCTCCAAGGAAGGGGACTCCACACCCTCCCTGGGCAGCCTGTTCCAGGGCTCTGTCACCCTCACCGTGAAGAAGTTTCTCCTCATATTTGAGTGGAACCTCTTATGTTCCAACTTGTGCCCGTTGCCCCTCGTCCTCTCACTGGGAACCACTGAAAAGAGTCTGGCTCCATCCTCCTTCAACCCTCCCTTGAGATACTTGTAGGCATTAATAAGGTCTCCCCTCAGCCTTCTCTTCTCCAGGTTAAAGAGTCCCAGCTCTCTCAGTCTTTCTTCGTAAGGGAGATGCTCCAATCCTTGAATCAAACTTCTGGGCACAGCGGTTGTATAGACTTTCTAGGACACGTGCTCTAGAAATGAGTGAGCTTAGTGAATGTTTGTCAACTCCCAAGCTCCATAAACTTCCATACCCTTCAGCTCTATCTCTCAAAGTGGTGCTTCTTCGTGAAACCACCTGCTCTGGTGAGAGCATCGAGCTTTTGCACCAGTAAAGAGAAAATCCTGAGTGCAAACCACCCATCACGGAGTGAGGAGCTCATCCCAAACCTCTGCATCCCACAGCAGTGGTCCATCTGCTGCCCCACATCTCCCTTCCCTAACACCTACTCACAAATTTTTGGTTAGAATTAAAAAGTTCCATTATATCAGTCTGCTACTTTCTTTTCAGCAAACCTTGTTATAAATGATTCCTTTATCAGAAGATGGGAAGAAACTCAGGGCTTCATTGGTTTAAAGGAATACGCCGAGCGCATCGATGACAAGGACCTGACAGTGAAGATCGCGATAGTGGAGAAATACAAAGAGCGGATCCCGGAGCTGGTGCAGAAGATTGAGAAGAGCCACGTGTCACAAGAAGCCATGGCAGGTAAGGACAAGTTGTGTCTGTGAGAGAGGAGCAAATTCAGGTCTTTTTTCATTGAATCATAGAATCATCTAGGTTGGAAGGGACCTTCAAGATCATCAAGTCCAACCATCAGCCTAGCACTGACAAAAAAAACCCATCACTAAACCATGTCCCCCAGCACCATGGGGTTCATTCAACCCAGCTTCAGTGCTGAAACCACCTCCTCCTGCAAAAAAAACCCCTAGATTTGGATCCAGTTGGTCTTTTAGGGAGAAAGGAAGATGAACAGCAGCTTCTGGGGTACATCTGGGACTCCAGGTGGCGTTGAGTGCAATGAGTCTGCCGCCAAAGGATTGCTTGGTGGGACTTTGTAAGAGGCAAATAAACCTTCGGACACAATATTTTCCTGGAAAGCCCTAGAACTTTATCTTGCTTTTTTGGAATTCCTGTTGGAGTTGCCCTGCAATTTATGGACTGATATTTGGTGAGGGGACAGAGCAATCCAGTCCAAAATTCATGAAATAAGAGCATTCCTGTTTGGGAGCTGGAGCTGAGGCTCAAGCTGATGAAAACCAGGGGTTTTCCTTGGCAGGGAACTTGCCTTCAGCAGCTGAGGTTCCTGATGGAGGTGCTTTGCTTCTGATTTATATTTGGGGAGATGTGAAATAAACCCAGAATGACATAATTTTGTTTCATTAATCTAGTCCCCTCATCATAAGATGATGAGGGAACTAGAACATCTCTCCTAGGAGCAAAGTCTGAGGGGTTTGGGTCTTTTTAGTCTGGAGAAGAGAAGACTGAGGGGGGATCTCATCAACACCTACAAATACTTCAAGGGTGGGTGTCAGGAGGATGGGGCCAGGCTTTTCCCAGTGGTGTCCAAGGACAGGACAAGAGGGAATGGGCACAAACTTGAACATGGGAAATTCCATCTAAACATGAGGAGAAACTTTTTTGCTGTGAGGGTGGCAGAACCCTGGAAGATACTGACCAGAGAGGTGGTGGAGTCTCCTTCTCTGGAGACATTCAAACCCCTCTGGACACATTCCTGTGGGACCTGCTCTGGGTGGACCTGCTCTGGCAGGGGGTTGGACTAGATGATCTCCACAGCTCCCTTCCAACCCCCACAATTCTGTGATTCTGTGACTTGGCACCTCATGAAATTAAAAATACCCTTATTTCTGCAATGACTGATCTTTTTGTTTTTTCCCTTCTTGTTCCCCATCGTGTGCTGGTTACAGATTACCTCATCGGTACTGTCCATCAAGCCAAAGGCCTGGAGTTTGACACGGTGCTGGTTGCAGATGACTTCGTGAAAGTACCATGTCTCAGTGGGGATTTCCAGAGAAGAACTAACTTCAGCATCGGTGAGGGAGGGGCTGCGTGTGGTCCCCAACCTGCTCTGAAAGTGGGAAAGCAAATTGTGCTGCTGGTGCTTGTTCCGCGAGCCCGTCACAGAAGGACAGAATGGCAGGGGTTTGTGTGGTCCCCAACCTGCTCTGAAAGTAGGAAAGCAAATTGTGCTGCCGGTGATTGTTCCGCGAGCCCGTCACAGAATGACAGAATGGCAGGGGTTGGAAGGGACCTCTGGCGATCATCCAGTCCAACCCCCTGCCAGGACAGGGTCACCCAGAGCAGGTTGCACAGGAACGTGTCCAGGCAGGTTTGAATGTCTCCAGAGAAGGAGACTCCACCACCTCTCTGGGCAGCCTCTGCCAGGGCTCTGCCACCCTCACAGCAAAGAAGTCCCTCTTCGTGTTGCGATGCAACTTTTTATATTCAACTTTGTGCCCCTTTCCTCTTGTCCTGTCCCTGGGCACCACTGAAAAAAGCCTGGCCCCATCCTCCTGACACCCACCCTTCAAGTATTTATAGGTGTTGATCAGATCCCCCCTCAGTCTTCTCCAGACTAAAAAGACCCAAGTCCCTCAGCCTTTCCTCACCAGAGCAATGTTCTAGTCCCCTCAGAATTTTCACTGCCCTCTGCTGTAACCTCTCCAGCACTTCCCTGTCCTTTTTGAACTGGGGAGCCCAGAACTGGACCCAGTGCTCCAGCTGGGTCCTCCCCAGGGCAGAGCAGAGGGGCAGAATGACCTCCCTCCACCTGCTGGCCATGCTCTTCCTGATGCCCCCCAAGATGCCATTGGCCTTCTTGGCCACCAGGGCCCATTGCTGGCTCATGGGCATCCTGTTGTCCACCAGGACTCCAGGTCTTCAGCACTGTCAAGTGCTGTCCTAGTGATTATTGATCTCCTTTCCTTCATGGCAAGAGAGGAGCAGGGGATCCTGCAGTCGAGCTTGTAGCCCTTTAGCAACAGAGAAAGACCAACTCCACGCTTGGGAAGGACACAGCTTTGCTTAGGTGGCCCCAGTTCATACTCTGGAAGAGCTGGTCTCTTCCCAGTATGCAGAGAGGAGCCTGCAGAGTGAATCTAGAACTGGGGAACCTCCTCCAGGGCCAAGCCTGGGAGGTGGAAGAAGACATAGCAGTGAGCTGTGTAGAGTCCTGCCTTCTCCTGGAGGGAGGAACATGGAAGGAGGCAGGAGCTATCGGTGGTGTCAGGAACTGCACGACAAACGCAGGAGCTGCACTGCTCTGCAGGTTCATACTCTGCTGGAGAAGCACCAAGTGTCTTCTCAGAATTACCACCTGAAGCGTTAGAAGAATGGCAGAGCTGTTCATTTTTGTCTTCTAAAGCTGTTGATGACCTTTCCTCCAACCCAGGCATGTATCCCGACGATGAATGGAACCTGCTCTATGTCGCGGTGACACGTGCAAAGAAGTATTTGCTCATGTCAAAGTCCCTGGAGCACCTTTTAGCGTTGGCCGGGGTAAGTGAAATATTTCCAAGGTAAACAATTGACAAGCCTGAGGGACTGGATGCCATCCAGGAGGACCTGAACAGGCTGGTTCACCTGTGTGAACCTCATGAGGTTGAATAAGGCAAGGTCCTGCCCCTGGGTCGGGGCAATCTCTGGGATCCATACAGGCTGGGGGATGAAGGGGCAGTCTCTGGGATCCATACAGGCTGGGGGATGAAGGGATGGAAAGCAGCCCTGCTGAGAAGAGCTTGGGGGTGCTGGTGGATGGAAGGTTGGACATGAGCCAGCAACGTGTGCTGGTGGCCCAGAAAGCCCCCCTCATCCTGGGCTGCATCCCCAGCAGCGTGGCCAGCAGGGTGAGGGGGGGGATTCTGCCCCTCTGCTCCGCTCTGGGGAGACCCCCCCACCCAGTGCTGCCTCCAGCTCTGGGGCCACCAACAGCAGAAGGACATGGAGCTGTTGGAGCGGGGCCAGAGGAGGCCATGGAGATGCTGGGAGGGCTGGAGCCCCTCTGCTGGGAGGGGGGGCTGAGAGAGTTGGGGGGGGTTCAGCCTGGAGAAGGGAAGGCTCCAGGGGGACCTTGGAGCCCCTTCCAGTCCCTCAAGGGGCTCCAGGAGAGATGGGGAGGGACTCTTGATGAGGGAGGGGAGCCCTAGGAGGAGGGAGACACTGAAAGAGGAGAAATCTAGGTGAGCTGTGGGGAAGAACTTGTTTGCTGTGAGGGTGGTGAGAGCCTGGCCCAGGTTGGCCAGAGAAGCTGTGGCTGCCCCATCCCTGGAGGGGTTCAAGGCCAGGTTGGAGGGGGCTTGGAGCCACCTGGTCTGGTGGGAGGTGTCCATGCCCATAGTAGAGGGGTTGGACTAGATGGTCTTTAAGGTCCCTTCCAGCTCAAACCATGCCGTGATTCTGTGATTCTAAATGATGGCTCTTTAGGTCACCTTCCCACCTCCTGCATCCAAACCTCCTCCAAACATCTCAGACAGGATGGGTGCTGCCAACTTGAAGAGGCACCAGGAGAGGCAGCACCCCCTGCCCGTAAATCTGCTCATCTCTGATTATGATGTCTGGAGGCAGGGTGTGTGGTAGAGAGGCATAAAAGAAGACTATCCCAAGGTTCACCCTCATCTTAAGACCCACGCTGGGCACGGACCATATCCTGAGGTCACATTTGTCCCTTGATTCATGTTGTCCTGCTCCATGATTTCAATAGCAAGACACGAGGTTGCAGCAACTTTTTTTCCCCCCCAGTTTGGGTGCGTTTCTGGGCGTTTGGGTGTTGTCTCCTGCAGATCCTGCCAGGGGGTGGCTTCCCTTTTCTGCCCACGCTGGTGGCCAGCTCTCACTTGGCTTCCTTCCTCCTCAGCAGCTCCTGGCTTCTGCTTGGTTTTTCTTGTCACCAGGGATGGGGCGGGTTTTGGGGTTTTTTTTCCTTTGTTTTATTTTTTAACAAAAAAAACCCCCTATCGTGTTGCAAGTCATTTCCCAAGAGGTCAAAAAATAAAATAATCAAAAAAAACCCCAGAAACAACGTGTTCCTGTAACTTGGCTCCCTCTGAGTATTGTTGTTCCCCTTTTTTTTTATTTTTCTCTTGTTTCCTAGGAGCGGTTCCTTCGTGTGGAGCTGATGAGTGAGGCTGTGAAGGACGGGGCCACCATCGCTTGTTCTGTGCCTCAATGTACAGGAACGTTGCAGTCCAGCTTCCAGCTGGTTGTGAAGAAGCTCCCTTTGACTCACGTACGTCCCCTCCCCCGGACCTCAACCCCCAATCAATGATATGGGGTTGGAATGGACCTCTGGAGATCCATCTAGTCCAACCTTCCTTCCAAAGCAGGTCCACCCAGAGCAGGTCCCACAGGAACGTGTCCAGGCCTGTTTTGAATGTCTCCAGTGAAGGAGACTCCACCAGCTCTCTGGGCAGCCCCTTCCAGGGCTCTGCCACCCTCACACCAAAGAAGTTCCTCCTCATGTTGAGGTGGAACTTCTTATATTCAAGTTTGTGTCCATTTCCTCTTCTCCTCTTGCCACACCTGAGAGGTACAACCTGAGTGCTAAGCTTCAGTAGAAGCAAACAAGAAATGTCCCGTAGCTGGATCTCCTGCCCACAGCTCCCCCACCCTTTGCTTCTGCTCACAACCCCGGCTCGTAACTGGGGGTGGCTTCCAAACCACATCATTCAGGGTGGTGGTGCAGCTCCACAAATCCACTCAAGCCTTGACCTCTCTTCTGAGACTAATTGTGGTCTCAAGTGGGGACAGTTTTGGGGTTCCATTGTGTCAGATCCCATTTCTGACTCTTTTTGCCTCTGCTGAGGCCATGGAACACCTCTCACCCCAGTGACAGTCTGACTTTTGGGTCCAGTTTTGGCCTCAGTCCCACCTTCTGGCTCTGGGGTTCATCCTCACCCAGAAGGTGCAGTGAAGACCAAGATTCCCTAGTATGCTGTGATCTTGCAAGCGCACGGTGAGTCTGGTGGAACTCCATGTCCACAACAAGAGATAGATGATGGCTCCAAGCCATCAGCAGGGGACATGGGCACTGAGATGTGGAAAACCTTGTCCTTCACCATCAAAGTCCCACCCAGGGACGTTTTTGGTTGTTGCAGCTCTTGAACGAGCTGGCCCGTAAGGGATTTCCTTGCAAGGGAGGTGGCAGGAGATGCTTCGGGCACATGGTTGCTCTCTTCCCTGGATGTGAGGGGGTTGCATCTGAGGTTGGAAGCCTTCCTCCAGCCTTCCTCTTCTCTGAAACCTCCTCTTTGTCCCTCCACAGAGCAATGGCAGCAAGGATGCTGGTGGCTACCTTTGCCACGCTTGCACGCAGCAGCGCTTTGGAGCTCTGACACCACTGACCTTTTCTCCAGCCCTTCAGGAACAGCCCATCTAGCTCTTAACGAAGCCCATCTAGCTCTAACGAAGCCCTCCAGAGCCCTGGCTGTGTCCTGGGTGTGGGAGAAGACCTGTTGTCACATCCCAGCTCCAAAATCAGATGGATATCGGAGCAGGATCTTGGACCAACTCCAAGAGGAACCCTCCAGGTTCTCAGCAAGGAGGTGTGAGACCTTTTCTCCAGCCCTGCCTTGCCCTCCAAGAGCTGGTCAGCACGGCCTGCATCGCTGCACAGAAGAATATGCACTATATAAACTTTTTCTTTTTCCTGGAGCATTACCCCTCTGTTACCTCTGTCACCAGGAAAACACTTCCAGTGACTGAACTTCCAGGACATCCCTGCCTTTTCCATCATGCCTCGGTGAAATCCCACTGATCCACCAGAAGAAAAGGAAATGCAAGACTGAAAAGTACCCAAAGAAACACTTCATTTCTAGGAAACGGTCTTTTTCCTGGAACCTGTTTTAATCAGGGAAAATGTCACTATCAGCTCGGGGAGGAAGTCATTAATTAATACCTCCCAGCTGAATTAATTTTCCTTCTTTGCAGCTGAGGGTGTTCCCCAGACTCTGGTCTCCTTCTCCCTGCAGCAAAGCATAAGGGTAGAAGAGAGGTGGCATCTGAAGAACTGCTTTGTTTTGGTTTCAGTCTTAAGCTGGGGAGTGTTTTTAATCAAGAAATTAAATTTGTAACAAAACAACAAAAAAAGAAAAGGCGTAATACTTTCTTTTTTTTCTCTTTCCTTCTGTTGAGAAGTCGTTCTGGGTTAGGTTTCTTTACCAACCATCCCAGTAGCAGTGGTGCGAGCAGGGTGGTGGTGCTCTTCTCAATCAGATGGTGGCTTGGAGACACCTCTTTGTACCGGAGCCTGTGTTACGTGGAGACCAAAACTGAAACCAATTTTGGAAGAGATCTGCTCTTGGACATGGGCCCAGAGCCATGAGCCATGCCCTCTGGAGGAAGCTCGTGCATCCTGTTGGTTTCCATGGTCATTCATTGAATGGCAACTCCTTCAGGCCCTTCTTTCACTTTCGAAGCACCGGCTCCAGAAAGGTTCTCCCTCTTCCGTTTCCCTCAGCGTGGGCAGAGGGAGGGAAGAAGGGGGGCAGAAGAGCAGAAGTCACCCAAGACTTGGATGTTGGATGGAAAAGCAAAGCTCGGGATGGACTTTGGAACCAACGATCCCTTCCAGCCTCACCTGTTTTTCCCAGTGGTACGTCGGGGAGAGGAGGGTTTGGTGGGTCACACATCCACCGTGGTGCCTCCTCCACCTCCCGTGGTTCAGCTCCGTGGCACAAACAGGAGGACGAGACACGGCAGCGAGGAAAGGAGGTGGAATTTTAAGTTGTTAGATGATACCTCCTGGATTCCAGCTGACTGCTAAAAACCCTTGGCCTCTAGAGCACAGCAATCCTGGTGGCCCACGAGCCCTTGTTGCTGCAGAGATGGATTTCACCCCAACCCAGCTCCCGTCTGTCCCCGCTGTCTTCTCCACCACCACAGCTGCCGCCAAAAAAATCAACGTCTGTGTGTGCATTATTTTATATACACTATATACACATTTATACATAAACCAGCACCAGTGTAAAGCTGCCTGTTTAGGAGGGAGGAACGAGTCGGAGGGGGGGAAAACCAAACCCTAATGACAGACAGAGAAGGGGAAAACCTGCAAAGGGAAATATTTCCTTGTGGTTTTGTTGCCTTCAGTCTTTGGTAGTGTCTGTTGTGGTCCCCTGCGAGCAGCTGGAGCTGGTGGGTACCTGGGGTTGGTGCAGAAAGTGCCTCCAAAGGATCCCTGAGCTGTGTAGGAGGGTCAACTGTGGGCTGCAGTCACAGGTTCACCGGTGGATGGCTGGAAGAGAGCAGGAAGGGGGTGAGGAAGAGGAAGGATCTGGGAGTCCTGGTAGATAGTCAACTCTCCATGAGCCAGCAACGTGCCCTTGTGGCCAAGAGGGCCCCAATGGGATCCTGGGCTGCGTAGGGAAGAGTGTGGCCAGTAGGTCAAGGGAGGTCATTCTCCCCCTCTGCTCAGCACTGGTGAGGACACAACTGGAATATTGCGTCCAGTTCTGGGCTCCCCAGTTCAAGAGAGACAGGGAATTGGTGGAGAGAGTCCAGCGTAGGGTAACAGAGATGATGGAGGGATTGGAGCATCTCCCTGATGAGGAAAGGCTGAGAGAGCTGGGACTCTTTAGCCTGGAGAAGAGAAGGTTGAGGGGAGACCTTGTTAATGCTGACAAGGATCTAAAGGGTGGGTTGAAGGAGGAGGGAGCCAGACTCTTTTCAGTGGTTCCCAGTGACAGGACGAGGGGCAACGGGCACAAGCTGGAACATGGGAAGTTCCATTCAAATATGAGAAAAAACTTCTTTGGGGTGAGGGTGGCAGAGCCCTGGCAGAGGCTGCCCAGGGAGGGTGTGGAGTCCCCTTCTCTGGAGATCTTCAAGCCCCACCTGGATGCTCCTGAGGGATGTGCTCTGGGCAACCCTGCTTTAGCAGGGGGGTTGGACTAGATGATCTCTAGAAGGTCCCTTCCAACTCTGACAATTCCGTGAGGACACAGAGGGATCCTCAGCCTGGTCCCCACCTCTCTCTTCCACGAGCACCACCACTTTCTAAGTTTTGGAGCAATTTTAGGGCAAAGCTGCTCTATGGAGGGGGCTGGCGTCCAGCTGGCCCAACTCTGGCCCTATTCCTGACCAGGGAGCAGGTGGTACTTGGGGCAGGGCACCCCCAGCACCCAAACCCCCTTCTCTGCACCCCAAACTCCCTCTGCTGGGGGTACACAGCCCCCAGCCCACCCCCTGCCACCCACCAGCACCCGCAGGACTCCACCTCCTCCAAATTCTGGCTCCCGAGGCAAACACCCACCACCTTCACACCACCTCGGGGTGCCTGTGGGCTCACCCACCCCCCTGTTCCACTGCACCATGGGACACCCACGCACCTTTGGGTGCTGGGGTGGCCTCATCCACGAAGAGTCACTTGTTCAGGCTGGGAAGAGCGACCACGTGTCCCTGGAGTGAGGATGCTCCGCACGGAGACTGGGATGTGCTCTGTCACATGCTGCCACCACTCAGGGAAGTGTCTGCCTTCCCATCCAAGCTCGGAGCATCCCTTGGGCTGGTGGGTGCACTGAGTTGCCCAACGGTGGGTTCTCAGCCTGTGGGGAAGGTGCCGGGCGGCAACATCTCCTCGTTCTCAGCAGCAGGAGCCACCATGGGGATGGCTGTCACCGTGTAGGCCTGCCCTGCACGCCTGCAGAGGGGAGAGGAGCGTCACTGTCACCTGAAGGGCTTTCCCCAGCTTTCAGGAAAAGGCAGAGGCCCAGCACAACTCGTCACTGGGGTGGGAGGACCTCAGGGGGCTCAGCACACTTACATTTTCATCCTGCAGTAGCAGATGGCGACAACAACGACAGCAGTGATGACCAGTGCGGGCACTGGGGGAGAGATGAAGCACCCAATGAGCATCTTCCAGTGCTCAACCCAAGCCAAAAGGCTCCACAAGGAACCAAAAACTCTTCGAGCACGTCCACAAGGTGCCCTCCCCACCCCGGGAGGAAAGTTGGGTTCTCCATCCTTCCTCCCTCGGAGGTATTGCCCCTTCCCACAGCCCCAGGGAGGGCTTCTAGGCTTAAAAAAAAAAAAAAAAAAATCGAAAAAAAATAAGCCCCTGCTTGCCAAAATAAATTTTTTGCATGGCTTACCAATGGAAGAGGTGAGGTTCTGGGCAGAAGCTGGAAAACAAGAGAGAAATGGAGATTTTTAGCTGCAAAGCCAGGGAAGAGGAGGATGCTGAGGGAACCCTCACTCCAAACGGAGTTGGAGACAAGGGGAAATGCACTGAAAAAGTAAAAAAAGCCTTTGCTGGTTGACACCACCCCCGTGGGTGGGTTATCTCTCTCGGAGAGGTGGCCTGACCTGCAGCGTGGTCCGGGGGGGCGGTGGGCAGCGGGGTTGTCCCCTCTCCCAGCGTGGACGTCTCCAGTGGCAGGGGCAGCTCCGGCGCCATGGATGTCTCTGGTGATGACCCATCAGGTGCTGGTGGCACGGGTGGCTGGCCAGCAGCTCCCATGGGCATCGCTGCTGGAGAGGGGCTGGAGGTCAGGTTGGCATCGCCAGTTCCTGGTGGGGAAAATGGCATAAAACATTTTAATTTAAAAAATTAAAAGGTAGTGGCGTTATTTCAGTGCTCAGTTTTGTGCCCGCTTCAAGCGCAGGTCGCAGCAGGGACCATACAGCCCATCTGGCAGCTACAAAATGGCACCATTTCAGGCAATTTAATGAATTCATAGAATCATAGAATTGCCCAGGCCGGAAGGGACCTCCAAAGGTCATCTAGTCCGACCCCCCCACAGTCAGCAGGGACACCCCCAACTAGACCAGGTTGCCCAGGGCCTCATCGAGCCTCTCCTTGAATATCTCCAGGGAAGGGGCCTCAACCATCTCCCTGGGCAACCTGTTCCAGTGCTCCACCACCCTCACACAGTCTTATGAGCTGATATAGAAATAATAACAGGTAAATTGTTGCACCACATTTATTATTGTTTTATAAAGCCTAAAAACACTGATACTTAATTGCTCTCTGCTGATGTCGACTCTTTTACCTTACATGTACCCTCCAAAACTGTGCCCTCACCCCATAAGTCACTAAAGCAGGTGGCTTGTTGAACCTCATGAGGTTCACCTGGGCCCACCTCTCCAGCCTGTCCAGGTCCTTTTGGATGACATCCCATCCCTCTGGTGTATCGACAACACCACACAGCTTGGTGTCATCTGCAAACTTGCTGATGGTGCCTTTAATCCCCCTGTCTATATCATTGATAAAAACGTTAAACAGTATTGGCCCCAGCACGGACCCTTGAGGAACACCACTTGTGACTGGTTTCCATCTGGACTTTGAGCCATTCAAGCACATAATTCAAGCACATAATTGAAATATTTCTCTTTCCACACCGTGGTGGTGGTGGTTTTTCCGTGACAGCGGTCACAATGGCCCCAAACCAACTCCCCGTGGGCTGTGTTTCCCCCTTCCTCACCCCTCTGGGTCATCCTCTCAGTGTGCAGCGTGGTCAGGAGCTCAGGGCTGGGAGTTAGTGGAGGTAGAGCCGGGTCTCCTTTGGGAAGACATGAGGAGACACCATCAATGGCAGCACCCACACCACCCCGCATCCTCCTTCATCACACCAGTGGAGGTGGTGTCCCCAATTCCCAGTCCCCCCATCGCATCCCAGCTGCTCGGCGAGGACTTACGGATGCATTGGAGGGTGGTGTGGGTCCAGTCGGGCTTGGAGCCGTCGCGGAGGATGCACTGGATGAGGCTGGAGGTACCAGCTTTGCGCTTGTAGCCCGGGTTGCAGACGTAGCGCAGGCGGGCGTTGAGCAGGGTGTTGTTGCCCACGTCGATGCGCGCGTTGGCCACGTCCTTGGGGCGGCTGCATCGCGCTTGCGCTGGAGGGGGACAAAAAGGGGAAAGAGAAAAAAAAAAAAGAGATGGTGACCACAACACGGAGATGGAGCACCCTCAGGACTCGGGCTCCCTGTGCTGAAGGGCACCTAAGGGGGTCAAATCCTGCCAAGGGGTGGGACCTAGATAGATTGGATCACTGGGCCAAGACCAACGGCATGAGTTTCAACAAGGGCAAGTGCCAGGTCCTGCACTTGGGCCACAACAACCCCCTGCAGCGCTACAGGCTGGGGGAAGTGTGGCTGGAGCTGCCTGGAGGAAAGAGACCTGGGGGTTCCAGTTGACAAGCGGCTGAATATGAGCCGTCAGTGTGCCCAGGGGGGCAAGAAAGCCAATGGCATCCTGGCTTGTATCAAAAATAGTGTGACCAGCAGAAGTAGGGAGGTGATTGTGCCCCTGTACTCAGCACTGGTGAGGCCACACCTCGAGTATTGTGTCCAG